AAGTGCACTGTATGACTGCAATGCACTGAGATGTATCGTATCATGACCAACATACCGAGATATGTATCGTATTGCGGCATATATACAGAGGTATGTATTGTACTGTGACCTGAATACTAAGATATGTGTCGTGGCCTATATACCGAGATATGTATCAGACTGGCCTTTATACCGAGATATTTATCGTATCGTGGCCTAGACACCGAGATATGTATTGTATTGTGGCCTAGATACCGAGGTTTGTGTCGTATTGTGGCCTGTATACCGAAATATGTATCGTACTGTGGCATATATACCAAGATATGCATTGTGTTGTGGCCTATATACTGACATATGTATCGTATTGTATCGTGGCCTAGACACCGAGCTATTTATGGTACTGCGGCCTTTATACCGAGATATGTATTTTATCATGGCCTATGTATCGTATCTTATCGACAGCTTCATAATGATTTGATGTACAAATCATGTCACACACTGCATTTTGAAATTTAAAATAACATCATAAACGATTTAAATATCAAGTTAAAAAAAACATGTATTGTATGTATTGTATCGTGACCTAGCTACCGAGGTATGTATCATATTGTGGCCTATATACCGACATATGTATTGTATCGTATTGTATCCTGGTCTAGACACCGAGATATTTATCGTACTGTGCCTTTATACCGAGATATGTATTGCATCGTGGCCTATATACCAAGACATGTATCGTACTGTGGCATATATACCAAGGTATGTACTGTATGGTACTGTGGTCTTTATACAGAGATATGTATTGCATCGTGGCCTAGATACCGAGGTATGTATCGTATCATGACCTATGTATCGTATTGTATCGGCACCTTCATAATGATTTGCGATCTGATGTACAAGTCATGTCACACACTGCATTTTGAAATTTAAAATAGCATCATAAAAGATTTAAATATTAAGTTATAAGAACATGTATTGTATGTATTGTATTGTAGCCTATACAGTATAATGAGTGTGTACATACCTCATACCTCATACCCCTGACAAAAGTCTTGTCACTTATCCATTTTGTAGAAACAAAATCTTGTAATCTGACTTTAAATTAATCGATTGGTTTTAGAAATGTCTCATATGAAGCTAAAACCCTCCCAAATTATGCTCAATATACTAAAATAAATTTGCTTCACTGAAGAAAGATTGATCATTTAATGAACACAGAAAGGTCAGATTTTGTCAAGACAAAAGTCTTGTGGTCTTGTCATATGATGCACCCAATCCTAGATTACAGCCTCACCTGTGATCAGTTACTGATCAATCAGTTAGTGTTTGTGTATAAAAAGAACCCAGCAGAACCAGACCTTCACATCAACTGCAACTTGACCTCTGACAACATGCCTAAGATCCACCCTGAGACCAAAGCCTTAATTATCAAGAGGCTGAAGACCAGATCCACTGCTGAGGTGGTGACACCTTCAATGTGTCTCAGCGTCAAGTACAAAGAATAAGAAAAAGATCTGAAATGACTGGAGATGTTTTTGACAAGCCCAGGTCCAGCAGACGCCACAAGACAACTGCTCGGGAGGATCGGTTGTTGATTCAAAAATCCAAGGCCCCTTTTCCACTGCAGCAGACTCCACCAGGCCTGGTCACCTCAAGTCCCTGTGTCAACCACAACAGTTTGTAGAATTCTGTCTGGAAATGGCCTCCATGGTCGAATCAGTGCACAGAAACCAGCACTAAACAAAAGGCAATAAAAAAAACGTTTGGCATTTGCCAAGGCCCACAGCCTGTTAAAAGGATGGACACTGGAAAAGTGGCAGAAAGTGGATTTCTCAGATGAATCCTCGGTTGAATTACATCACAGCCGCCGCAAATATTGCAGGAGACCAACTGGACCCGCATGGATCCAAGATTCACATCATCATGAACATCATTGAGCAGGTCTGGGGTAGAATGAAAGAGGAAGCATGGAAGACAAAACCAAAGAATCTTGATGAACTCTGGGAGGCATGTAAGACGCTTTCTTTACTATTCCTGATGACTTCATCAACAAATTGTATGAATCATTGTTGAACCGCATGGATGCGTCCTTCAAGCTCATGGACGTCATACAAGATATTAAATCTGGATCTCACAGCACCACTACTTCATTCACTGACGTTATGCAACATATTTTTGTATTTGAAGTAAATTATTTGTTCAATTTTCTGTAGGCGACAAAACTTTTGTTTTGCCAAAATCTGACCTTTCTGTGTTCATTAAATGATCAATCTTTCTTCAGTGAAGCAAATTTATTTTAGTATATTGAGCATAATTTGGGAGGGTTTTAGCTTCATATGAGACATTTCTGAAACCAATCGATTAATTTAAAGTCAGGTTATTTTAAGACTTTTGTTTCTACAAAATGGATAAGCCACAAGACTTTTGTCATTGACTGTATTGTATCGTGACCTAGCTACCGAGGTATGTATCGTATTGTATCCTGGCCTAGACACCGAGATATTTATCGTACTGTGGCCGATATACCGAGATATTTATTTTATCATGGCCTGTATACAGAGATATTTATTGTATCCTGGCCTATGTATCATATCTGATGTACAAATCATGTCACACACTGCATTTTGAAATTTAAAATAACATCATAAAAGATTAAAATATAAAAAAAAAAACTGTACAACAAACATTTTGGGTCCTCCTGTTTCATATACAGTCTAAGTATAAAAGTTAGAATGTACTGACCTAGTTATTCTGTTAGACAAGCCTCACGTATTGGTTTTGGAAGGGCATCTGATTCAAACTGTTCCAAACTGATGCATATCACTGAAGGAGCAGGATGACACCAATGGAAAGAACTCCCATAAAAGCCTATCTAAATTTCACATGACCTTTATCCAGCTCTGATCAAGCTTTGTGTGTCATGTATTTTCATCTCTCCGTGGTTTTGTTCGGAGATTTTTCCCATTGACAAATCAGGCCGTGTCCATGTACGGCCTCCCTCCCTCTGCGTCCGTGTCAGCCGGGTGGATAAATAGAGCAATAAAACCTCACATTATCTAATGTCTCGGAGCTTTGATGGTGGTGTTTTTGAAGTGTTTTTCAGTTCGCAGGCGTGTGGAAGTGTACTCTCTGTGGCCTTTTAGCGAATCACTGCAATATTTATTCACGATGACGTAGTGTTGTCACTGTACAACAATTTCTAACTTCATTTCAACACTAAGGAACAGACTTGATACTCAGGATACATACTGATACCACAATGAGAATAAAAAAACCCTTTCTTTAGTCTATCTTTACACAACTCTTCAGAATCTCCTGTGATTTTCCACATTAAATGTGTCCTTATGTCTGTGTAATCCCCCAGTGCTCCAGGTCTAAACCAGGTCTAAACCAGGACTAAACCAGGTCTAAACCAGGTCTAAACCAGGTCTAAACCAGGTCTAAATCAGGATTAAATCAGGACTAAACCAGGACTAAACCAGGACTAAACCAGGTCTAAATCAGGATTAAACCAGGTCTAAACCAGGTCTAAACCAGGTCTAAATCAGGATTAAACCAGGTCTAAACCAGGTCTAAACCAGGTCTAAATCAGGATTAAACCAGGTCTAAACCAGGTCTAAACCAGGTCTAAACCAGGTCTAAACCAGGACTAAACCAGGACTAAACCAGGACTAAACCAGGACTAAACCAGGTCTAAACCAGGACTAAACCAGGACTAAACCAGGTCTAAATCAGGATTAAACCAGGTCTAAACCAGGTCTAAACCAGGACTAAACCAGGACTAAACCAGGTCTAAATCAGGATTAAACCAGGTCTAAACCAGGTCTAAACCAGGTCTAAACCAGGTCTAAACCAGGACTAAACCAGGACTAAACCAGGACTAAACCAGGACTAAACCAGGACTAAACCAGGTCTAAACCAGGTCTAAACCAGGTCTAAACCAGGTCTAAATCAGGATTAAACCAGGTCTAAACCAGGTCTAAACCAGGTCTAAACCAGGTCTAAACCAGGACTAAACCAGGACTAAACCAGGTCTAAACCAAACCAGGTCAAAAGCAGATCAAAACCAGATCTAAACCAGGTCTAAACCAGGACTAAACTAAAGTAGGTCTAAACCAAGTCTAGACTAGGACTAAAGCAGGTGTACCCCAGGTCTAAACCAGGACTAAACCAGGTCCATGGGTGTATATTAGTCTCTTATATTTGTTCTGATCCAGTTCCAGATGGTTCTAAACACATTCAGGAAAGGTTCTGCTCTGTTCTGTCTGTGGGACTTTTTTTAGTATTGAAACCATAGACCGTGAGTGAATGTATATATGAGTGGACAGAGCTAATGTACCGTTTGCCAAATAGGAAGTTCTCCAGCAGGCTCCTCTCTCTGTACCTGCTGCAGTGAGCCTCGACATTTTGGTCTTAAAATGTTTGTATTAACTCACTCTAGATTATCCAGAATTTTAATTTATTTTTTGGCTATTTTGTCCATCAAAACAGTCCTGTTGATAACATAGAGCCTGGCTCCTGTGACCGTGAACATTGCGAGCCTCATTTGAGCGACACTGAACGCTGTGGGTGACGTCACACTCACTTAGTCCACTTTATTTATACATTTATATATCTGTGATCAAAACCCGCGGAAAATGAGGATCTAGTTTTAATACTTGTATTAAATAAATAACATATGTAAATAATCCTAATTATTCACTGCGATGAGTTTATGTAAGCATTTTTCACAACTTTCAGAGACCAGAGCGGGGCTTTGTTGTGACAGTAAAGCTAAAAACTAGTATGCTAATGTGCACTTCCTGATTCTCGGACAATAAAACGCCTTAGAATCAGATGCAGACCGAACACAGGGGACTTATTTTGAGTTTATACAAGATATGTGTACTGGGACGAGACACATTTTGCTCAAATACATGGAAACTTTAACAACCCTGAACTCAATTATCTATTTTTATTCCCATTTTTATTTCAGTTATTTATCTTCTTTAATGTTTTTTTTTTTTTTTTTTCCCCCATAGGTCATTGAGAAGAGGTAGCTCCTTCAGCTTCATCACTCCAGCTGCACAATGGGACCTGAGTCTGGTGAGTGCAACACGACAACACGACAACACGACAACACACAAACATGTACAAGAGCCAAAGTGCACTGTGTTTTCTAACTTAAAGGGTCCATATTTTACTATTTTCTGATCTGATCTAATGTAGTTTCCTCATCACAAACAGATCTGGAGTTGTTTTGTTTCATTCAGACATTTAACACACTGAAAACACTCTGTTCCACCTTGTGATGTCATGTGGTAATACAGGAAGTGCTCCACACCTTCACTAGAATCATTTGGATTATTTCAGACCAGAATTGCTGATTGCTGAGCTGTTCACTTGCAAACCAACGCTTCATGACATCACTATTACGACCCAACCACAGACCACAACATATTTAAAAAGGGACACGGAAGACAAAGTTAAGAATTTGCATTTCTTTTATTGTTTCTTTGAGTTCTGGACGTTGGAACCCCCCCAAAAAAACTTAACTCGTGCCCTCCAAAAAAACAAAACAAAGTGACAAAGGACGGTGCGCTGGCCAGACCAAGCATATGCAGGGTCGTACGCACTGCCAGTGCACTGCTGTCCCTACCTCAACGTCAACACAACCCCAAAACTATCCGTACACAAACAAAACAATGAAAACAGAACATCCAGACTCACCAGGGCAAAACAAAAAACAGCTTGGTTAACAGAAATCTAACAAAACACAGGAGCAGGGGAGCCAGCGAGCACACTCCAGGACATGCGAGCCACAGAGAAGGAGCGCCGGGCTTGAGCATTTAAAGGTTCCTGGTGGAAATGAGGAGCAAAAATCTACAATACATCAAAAAACATAAGAATAACTGACAAACTAGGAAAAATACTACAAAAATAGACAGAAAAAGACAGAGGAAAAACAAAAGGTAACGTAACAATCACAAGGTGGAACAGAGTGTTTTGAGCTTTGGAGATGTAGACAGACTCAAACATGTGTGAATGGAACAAAACACAACAGGTCTGTTTTTGAGGAGGGAACAACCTTCGGCCATTGTTAAAAGCTCACAAGAATACATTTACCGTATTTTCCGCACTATTAGTCGCTCTGGATTATGTGGTGCACTGTCATTGAATGGTCTATTTTTGAACTTTTTTCACAAATAAATGGCGTAGGACTTTAAAGGAAACCCAACAGTGTGATGGGTGAGTGGTTTTGTTTGTTTGTGGTGTTCACGGTGACTCTGGGCTTTGTTCAGTTGTGGCGTGTAGGGAGGGTGCTGTCTGGGACCAACGGATTGTCGGCGTGTTCGCAGTGACTCAGTTGTTCAGTTGTGTCTAGAAGTGGCACATTGCACTCGCTTTTTCAGTTTGTTCCTCCGTTCAGTTCCTTGTCGGTGTGGAGTGATGAGTGTGTCTGTGGGTGTGTTTCTCTGTGCGGTCGCTGTCTGCTCCGTGTGTGTTTGTGTGTTCTGTGGGTGGTGTGGCTTTGTAGTTTACTGAAGTCGTGCTTTGACACCCGAGTGGATTCATGTATGGGGCACTCTGGATTGTGGGGCGCAGTCGTTTTTTGATGGAGTTGGAGGCTTAAGAGTGCGTCTAATAGATCAGAAAATACGGTAGTTTAATAATATAAGTAAATAAGTAAGTAAGTCTTTATTTATATAGTGCTTTTCACAGACATTTTTGTCACAAAGACGCTTTACAGAGCATTACATTCAGCATATATTATTCATTCACTCTGTACGTGGTGATGGTACGCTACTGTTGTAGCCACAGCTGCCCTGGGGCAGACTGACAGAGGTGCAGCTGCCATGCCAATCGGCGTCAACGGTCCCTCCGACCACCACCACCACTAACGCACACACCACTTTCATACTAGGCAATGTGGGTGAAGTGTCTAGCCACTAGCACCAGTGCTCATTTCCACCTGTCGTCTCTGGGCAGGTTCATTCATTGATTGTATTTAACTGACCTTGACTATCGACTGTTCTGGAGACCTGGAGCATGTTTTGTGTTGATGGGGGAAACCAGAGCACCCAGAGGTATATAATATAGGACCAATATAGGACCTTTAAAGCTACCGTATGCCACTTTCTGGAGGTGGTGCGTCACCTGCATGAAAAAGTTAAAGCCATACTTCAGAACATTGTCCATTTTATGTTATACTGAATCATGGCATCAGTGTGAAGCTAACAGTGCACATCCTGGTTTGTACAAACATGTTATAATTCACTCCAGCAGCACACAGCAGTCACATTCTGACCTTAAGGGCTGCTTATATAATATATCTGTTAAAGGGGAGGTGGGTTTACTGTAGGTCTGTTGTTAAAGGGGAGGTGCAGTGCAGTTCTTTTATGTAAACCTGGTTCAGACCTCTGTTCCTGTCAGAGCTGTGCTTGAATCACACAGCTCCACAAACTGTTACAGATTCAAGAGTCTGACCCACTGCCTCTGTGTCCGTCACCTCCACATCCACACACATTTGCTTTTTTTCATGGCCAATGACGATCACGTTAAGAGTCCAGGGGAAACCGATAAACTCTGCCGATATTGTTTGGCCCATATTTTCAGCCGATAATCTTTCTTGTACTATCAAACTAAACTGTAGTATATGGAAGATCATTTGTTTCATCAGATTTAGAATTTTAAATACCACTGAATTTCTCACTTTGAATTTTTTAACTCTGAAAAAAGATGTTTGAATTAATTTTATTCTGAATTTTAGTTGCTGAAATTTGAAGTACTTGTGTGTACTATATTTTAAATTCAAAATAAATAAAAAAAATCACCACAGATATTTTCAAGCCCTCAAATTCAACAGCCAAAATTCAGAATGTAAAATTCGTAGTGAAAAAGAAAGCGAGGAGGACAGAGGCTGTTTCCTATTGGCTGTTCTCATCTGTGGGCGGAGTTTACACTTAAGAAATCAATGAGATGAGATTCCAATGAGGCTAATTCTGACCAATCAGATCGCTTCTCTGCACCTCCTGTTTGTTTCCTGTTGGTTACTGAGTTAGATTGGATCACTTTGGATCGATTGCTTCTGCCTTGGCATCTTGGATCTTTACTGTGATTTTTTTTTTCACTGTGAATTTTACATTCTGAACTCTGACTGTTGAATTTGAGGGCTTGAAAATATCTGTGGTGAATTTTTTTTTCATTTTTATTTTAAAACATAGTACACACACGTAAACGTAAAATTTCAGCAATTAAAATTCCGAATAAAAACAATTCAGACATCTTTTTTCAGAGTAAAGAAATTCAAAGTGAGAAATTCAGTGGTATTTAAAATGCAAAATCTGATGAAACAAATGATCTTCCACAGTAGTATAAACTCTTCACACTATCAATCTGAAACGGCTCACACTGGAACATGGATCTGTAATAAAAACTGGATAAACCCCGCCCCCTCTGTTCTGACTTGAGACAGACTAGTGGACGCTCCAGGTACTGCAGCTCCTGTTTTGCATTTGCATTTTGGGATTTCAAACTGCCCGTGTTCTGACAGGGCATTTTGTAGGATTCTTTTCTATTTTCTCAACATAAACTATTCAATTTTTTAAAATCCTCAAAGCTAAGGTGACCAGAATTTTAAAATCAAAAACTGGGGCACTCTCGGTTTGTGACAGTTTGTAATAATAAAATTGTGAAATGAGTGCGTAAATAAGGAAAACTGTTCTGCACTCGGCCCATTCACAACATACAAGTCAGTACAGACACATTTTCTTTGTGTTTTGGTCATTTTAAAACACATGTTCTGTATTTTACCTAAACAAATGTCAATGTATGTTTCTCTTTACTGTTGGCAGGGATCAGATTGGTTAAAAATGGGGACACCTGGGACATTTCTTATATAAAATTGGTACAAATCACTGGTTTTATATAAATCTGCTTGGACAGGGGACACAGGGCTTAAAACTGGACTGTCCAGGGAAAATAGGGACATCTGGTCACCCTACTCAAAGCATCTAAAAGTGATCTTTGTCAGATTTAACCTCGCCGCTCTAGCTCCACTCTAGCAGCTCTCACTGTGATTGGTCCAAACGCTCCACGCCGTGCACGTTACAGACGTCACACAGGTGGGAGGAGCTCGCCCGGACTGAGGAAGTAAATGCGGAAGAGAAAATTATATTTGGGCCCATGAGCCAAAAAGGAACCTGAAACATCAATAAACAGAAGAATAACTTACAAAAACAAACTAGGCGTTTTGAGCTTTGGAGATGTAGACAGAATAATGATGGGTCTGGTCAAGCAGTAACGGAGGGAAACAGGGGCAGATTTTTGACATTCAAATGTCTCTTATTCAGAAACTAGAGGGACTATTGAAATAAGTAAAGTATCAGAATGTAGGAAAGAGTTACACTCCAACAGGGTCAAGTTAAACCTGTGATATTCTTTCAAGTTGTTGACAAAAAATAAAAAAACTCATGTCAGTAACGGAGGGAATGAAATATGCAGCACTTTTTGGGCAATAAATCCAAACAGTGATAACTCTTGGTTCTCACTTCCATATCCTTAACAAACTGGTTTGAATATTTGCTTCATATAGTTTTCTACCATATGGTACAAGATTAGGTTGAAAAACCTCTTACTTTTTGACTCATGAGATTTTTTATTAAGAAAGGTCATGGTAACGGAGGGAAAAGTAACGGAGGGAAAATTGTGCAAACAAGTAGAAGGTGCAGGATTTTACATCATTTGTCGCTTTTTTCTTCTGAAAACTTTAATATTACTTCAAAATGAAAGGAAACTATTTTTTTTTTTTTAAATCATGTCCCTTCATCAACAGTTCAAAGATGGAATAACACAAGATATGATGAAATACATCCATTTATTGACATGATTTGCAGGTCTTTGAAATTTGGGAAATAATTTTTGTTCCATGTTTCATACATGCTCTGTTTAAAACATATGGAACTTTAGAACCAAAAATGGTACAGAAAAAAGGTCAACAGTTTCATAAACTAGAGTACATATGTATCTGTTCAATACATTTTTATATCAGATGCATTAACTTGAATTTTTGGCCTTGATGTTTACTTCTGCTTGACCAGGCCCTG